TAGAAAGACCAACACAAAGTCACAAATTTTCCAGCTGTGACTATGAAAATGGCCTAGGAACAGTGGGTACTTCTAGTGCCCAGGTTGCAATCTCTAATACAAAAATCTACTAAAAGAAACCAGAGCTCCAATATAATGAATGCTTTGGGATCAATTTTGGAAATTTGAATATCTGGTTATTAGGTAAGAATTTATTGAAATATAAAGGTAGAGACAGATGACTGAAAACAAAGCATACTACAGAACAATATATATAGTGTGGTCTCATTTTGGTGAAAGATATATATTTACAGTATATTAATCGTCACAGGTGCAATAGTTAGATGGTGTTTTAATTTTTAAAATTTTGCTCGACTCCATTGGTTACATGATCTGCTTTGGTTATTTTGAAAGGCAATTTAAGAAGCAGCAGCATCAACTAGTTCACTGATGATGGCCATGGTAGACAGCAGCAGGGTGTCGTGGGGTGAATAGCTAGGTGTGGACACTGGAAGTGTAAACTACTCAGAATGAGGCAGGCACAGAGAAAGCACAGAGAAAGGAGAGTAATTGAAAGCAGACATCCCCGTATCCAGGCTGGCTTTCCACTTTCCAGAAGATGCTTTCTTAGCCACCCATGTGACTCACTCAGTCACTTCATTTCAGTCTTGGTTCAAATGTCACCTTCCCACTGAGGCATATTCAAAATCACAAAACTCTTTCTCACCTCATCACTTCCCTCCACATCCACAAATCCCCTACCCTGACCCTACTTTTTTCCATAGACCTTAGAAATGTCTACTATTTTATAGAATTTTTATTTTTTGTTGTTTATTGCCTATCTCCTCCACTAGAATGTAAACTTTTCAGTTGAGCAAACATTATTTGTTTTGTACACTAGCATATCCCAAGCACCTAGAACAGGGGATGTGCACATAGTGTGACTTGATAACTATAAAGCAAAATTAAAAGAAGGGTTATTTAGGGTTGGGAGAGACTTGAGCACATTTATGTGCCGAACTTGACCTTTACCAGGAAGCAAGATTCATGAACTTCAGGATGGCAGAAGCCATCCATATGAGATGCCCTTTGTATCTTAGAGTGTACAGAGTACACATACAGTAGTAAGCAGGGAAAGCTGTTCAGAAGGCCTATAGGCCAATCAGAGTGAACTGATTCCCGTGTGTGTCCTTGCCATTTGGCCTTTATTTCTAGGAATAGAAAAGGCATCGCCAGAACAAACAGCTACAAGAAATTTTGTTGGTGCTGTTTCAGGGTGAAACATCTCATTGCCTTGGCAACAGTACATTTCAGCAGCACACACTGAGCCGGTACTTACCATCACGGGAAAGCAAATGCCCAGCTCCTTTCATTTACTGATAGGGTGTATTGAACTCATTGCCCTCCACGATGGAAAAAGGATTGGTAGGAACTCCCAAAGAGGTCTACTGGCAAAACCAGGTTCGCCATGAGGCTCATTTGTTTCCTTTTACAGTTTAATATTCAATGAAGATATAGTCAGAGGTAAAAAAGAAGGAATTGTATTAAGTCAAATTCAAGTCGATGAAAAAAAATCTTTATTAAAGGCATCAAAAGACCTAGAAAAAGTGAAAGTCATAAAGAAGAAAGTAATTTAAATCCAGATGAGCCCAAAGCAACTACAGAAAAGTGTGAATTTGATCTTCTCTGGATCTCCTAGCACTTTTCTAGATTCAACCTCCTGAGGTTTCTCTGGGCCTATACTCTTGTAACCCCTAAAAGCCCTCACTTTTGCTGTTTTGTTTTGATAGTTTTTGGTTTTATTTAAATCAGGCTATTGATCAAAAGTGCCTGAAAAAACCTCTGGTCTCAGGGATTTTATAATTACGCAAAGTGTGTGTATACATTTTCTGGGACACTATATACATACATATTTGTGTATATATTTATTTGTATTTGGTAAGCAGCAGTGATTTCATATTTTAAAATAAAAAGTTATAAAGTGGGTTATTTTGAAATTAGAATCAAAGGAGCCTAATTTTTAAAACCTGAATAAAAGTTCAGAGGTCTCAGAAAATGGAAATGGTACAGAATCTTACTTTGACAGGAGAGAAATGACAAAAAATAGAAAATATTACATTTCACAGGTCAAAACAATGTCTTACCTAGGACTAGGGACATTAAACTGGTGGCCACAAGAATTTCTAAAACATGTAATACCTGACTATTTAGCCAGGGGCACTGCCCTCTTTTCTCTTCGATTGGCAAATTTAAAAAATGACAACAGCCAACACAAGAATAGTTATCGATGTGAAAGAATCAAAATCATACCTATTATTTTGGTCAGATCGGCAAAAAATATATTTTTCAGTGTGCCACAGAATTTTAGCGATTAGTTTATGTGTGCCAGGAGATGAAAAAGAAAACATGATTAGAAAACTTGTTAGTTACACATTAGGAAAAATTGCCAACATAATAAAAGAAACAAGGAAATCAAAGTATCTACCTGCCATTTCACAGGGCATGTCACTTAAAAAACATTTTGCTTCATTCCATTGTTTGAAGAAATCATCGATACACCAAAGTTGATATCTCAGTGTTTTCATCTCTTGAAAACTTCATTTTTGTGGTCTTCTCATTGAGGTGTATTTGTCACTGCCACTAACATTTTAACATTTTAACGTTTTAGGCAAGCACATTATTGGTCATTTCAGGCTTATAGGATGCGGGTTGACATGGGATTGGCACAGAGCAATGACTGATACCCTAGGAGCTCAGGGAAGTACAAAATCTTTTTAGAAAACTGCTTGTTGACTTCATTACTGTGACAATACACTTAATCATCCCACGTCATGTACGAGTTAATGGATACTCTGAGCCTCCAACCACAGTCCAAGGCAATGACAATGTGTGGGACAACCCTGGCTTGCCTGGAGGAGAGGCTGATTTGATTAATTACCTAATATAGGAACAAAAAGGTTTAGTAGGTCACACAGCCGTCCATATTAGAAGAGGTTTAAATCTGTTAGGTAGGAGAATTTTGACACGCTCACCAGACCCTCAGGCACACCTGGGTAAAGCAGTCCTTGGTGTTAGAACATTCCTGGCTGTTATCACAGGTTTGCCCCAAGAACCGGTTCTCTTTGAAAACCAGTCAAGACCTGTTTTCTGATTTCTCCCTTTTCCACGAGTCACCCTTGGGGAGAATCTGTATCTGGAATGGGGTTTTGTTGACTTCAGAGAACTCCAGGTTGCATAAGACACTGCCATTGTTGTCCAAGAGCTTATAAGAACAACAGAACATCTCCACATAGTAAGTGGATGATATTCAGGGATTCTGTCCAGGCCCTTGAAGGCAATAAAGGGCAATTTTTTTTTTTTACTCTCTTCAAACAATTTGCATGAAGAAAACTGTCACAGGCGTAATCGTCTCTAATTAGACATCTATAAAGGCAGTGGTTAAAAGCCTCCAAAATTTAGTATATAAAACATGTTTCTGATTGCAAACAACATATCCACTGGTGTACAAAAGGATTGGATAATTCAAACTACATAAGCTACATTTGCTTCCTCTGAGGGCAATTTGAGAAATATTTTTCTCTTCAACTAGCCAATACTGAATCCAGAAGTAGACAAGAGAGTGTCATGGGGAACATTTTAATAAGGAATATAAAATTAGGCACCAGATTTATAGGGGGTTATGATTATTTAGAATTACAAGAATTTAAGACCTGAAATGAAAGAGGAAAGAGAAATGAAGGAATTATAAGAAAAAAATAAATCCAGTACCTTGGGATTTTGGTTCCATACTGTCCTACTTCTTCAGAAGAACCCAATTTTATCAATCAATATGTATAAAAGGCTAAGTAACTGACAGTCAGTCTGTCCAACCATCCGACCAACTGGCCAATACATGGTACATATGACATGCACTGGCAATTTAAAAATAAATGTTGCCTCGCGCATGTGCAATACATAATAAAGCTCTCGCTGGTGCCAACCACATGTGATGCCAGAATGTATCTGAAGACCAACTATTGGCACAATGTACTTCTGAAGCTAAAAGAAAGCGGCATTGTCGACAGAATATGTCTGAAGACAAACCCGCTTTCGGAAATGGTCAGTTATATGTTGCTTTCTCTCAAGTTTGAAGAGCATGTGACATTAAAGTTAAAGTTGTAAATACTTCATCACAAGGAAAATTAGCCAAGCACTCTGAAAGTGTTTTTACTCTTAATGTGGTGTACAGGTTGATATAGATTAAGCTTAATCAATTTATCAATCACTGTTTTTATCAATGTTGTTTTTATATCATGTTTTTGTTATTTTTATGTCATTCTTTGTTGTTTTATATCATGTTATTGTTTATTTATTAATCAATTCACATATTATTTTCATACACATTTTACTAACTTTCATCTCTGACACTTCTATTATAGAGAACGGGTGAATAGTGATATTAAAATATTTTGTATTTTAATTTTATAATACTACTAGAGGCCCAGTACATAAAATTCGTGCACTCTGGGGGAGGGGGGAGGGCGTCCTGCAGCCCAGCCTGCACCCTCTCACAGTCCAGGAGCCCTCGGGGGATGTCCGACTGATGGGGTCAGTCGGACATCCTTAGCACTGCTGTGGAGACAGGAGAGGCTCCTGCCACCGCCGCTGCACTCTCCAGCCTTGAGCCTGGCTTCTGGCTGCGTGGTGCTCTGCCTGTGAGAGTGCACTGACCACCAGGGGGCAGCCCCTACATTGAGTGTCTGCCCCCTGGTGGTCATTGAGCATCATAGCGACCAGTTGTTCTGCTGTTCGATCGATTTGCATATTAGCCTTTTATTATATAGGATATTAATATACTATTTTGACATGCAATTTTTGTCATGTCATGCCTCAAGGTTCCTCCCAGCATTAGCTCTCTGTCTCTTCCCTCTTCTTAGTTGCAGGCTGGGTAATTTCATTTTTGTGACTCAAACAACCATCAGTCTGCTGACATGCACATTTCTAGCAGGGTTCCTGATATTTGATGAGGCCATTTTGATTCAGCCTTGGAAGGAATCCTTTTTATTTTCAATCTTACAATGTTCGAAACTGGCATTCTCCTCCTATCCCTGGACTTTCTCCTATTAAATGAGGCATGTTTTATTGTTGAACTCTAATCAACTACCCAGAAACAGTTTATAAAATGCTTAAACAGTTACAGTTTCTTTAAACAAACAAACAAAAAAAAACAAGGGAATTCCCACATCCCTTTATAAAGCTAAGAGAATCTGACAAAAATAGTCCAAACTCAGTTAAATATAATATGAAAAACAAACATATACCAACTATAAATGTAATTGAAAAATTCTATGTTAAATATTAGCAACTAGAATTTAGCATTATGATAAATTTGTGGTCTATTTAGAAATGCAACAAGGAAAAAACACAACCATGTAAACATGCTCATTGGTCATTTGATAAAATTTATCCTCATGGTCAGGCTTGAAAAACAAATAAATCTGATTTAAATGGAAGGTTATTCATTATAGCCATTTTCCCACTAACCAAGTAAATGAACCTTTTCTGGACCCTAGTTTCACTAATTTTTCAAGTGAGTCTGTCTAGATTGCCTTAAATCCCTGGTTTGAAGTACATCTTGTCCTTTCCTTTTTATAACATTCTTTTATCTTTGAAATTACACTTCTAACTTCTGATCTCCCCACCAGACTGAAGCCACCTTGAAGATATGCATTGTTATCTACAATGTGTAGCTTAACATGTGTGTGTACGCACGTAGTTACAGAATTTGCGGGGTCCAGTGCAAAGTGAAAATGAGAGAGCCCTTGTCCAAAAACAATTAAGAATTTCAAGACAGCAGAGCATTGAAACAAGCAGGGAGCCCTTCTAAGCACTACATGGGCCTCTATGCCATACAAAGAACACACGCCCATAAAAAAGTCGGATGTGTGTGGGGTGTGTGTGTGTGTGTGTGTGTGTGTGTATGGGTGTGTGTGTTTGAATATGTTAAATAGTATGCCTGGAAAATTAAGTCATAGAAACTTCAGGAAAATATCCACAGACAGACCAACAGCTAGCATTCAGATCTCAGACTATCAAGAGCAGTCAGAGGTGGTAAAAATAGTTCAGATAATTAAATAAGAAAATATTTTCAGGTTACCAATAATTGACTATTTTGATGGAAGACTGTAAGATATTTAAAAAGACATTGATTAACCTTCAACAACTATCTCTTTAAGTTGACTTTCATATCTTATTTACATTTTTTCTATTACATTGTACTAATCATTCTGAGAATGTTGTCTTCTTTCTTAGTATTTATGGTTATAATAATTCATGAACTTGGAGTACTGTTGGCTTTTCTGCACAACTCATTGGGGCTACAAGTAAATGGAATAGCAATCATTTCTCTAATCAAAAAACAACAGCATATAAAATTTTACAAGACATTTTATCCTTGTCTTATGAAAAATAATGTTCAGCTTATCAAAATATCAGCCATTCATTTAAGATTTCCTTTTGGAATTTTTTACAAATGGTATTAATTCTCTAATAGACAGGGAATTGAAGGAATCATAAGAAAAAATAGATCAGAGATCTTGGGTTTCTTGGTTCCATCCTTTCCTACTTCTACACAAGAACCCAATTTTATCAATTAATACATAAACTAGAGGCCCGATGCATAAAATTCGTGCAAGGGGTTCAGCCCCTGCCCACCAAGGCTTTGTCTGTCTAATTAGCATATTACCTTTTTTTGTTATTATAGATAGACTCTAGCACCTCTCATGCATAATAACTTCTGGTGAGAATGTGCTCACTCTCATGCAACAACAAAAATTCCAAATCCTTTATGAATATGTTCTGAAGAGAGTGAGGAATTTACATCTCTACTGGAGCTCTGAATAATTTCACCTCATGCTTCCTCAAAGTTCACTGATGACAAGCCCTTATTATGCCAGGTTTTGTGGTGATTGTGCAAAAAAAAAAAGGAAGATGGATTTCTTCCTGAGGAAGTTATTGATAGATGATCTTTTATTTGTCCCTGAAAAGTAAAACAAAAAAGTGCAGGCTGGTGCAATTTCTGTGCCTCAATGCCACTGTCGGGGATTTTAAGTAAATAAATAACCACTCTAGTGTGCTTAGGCACAGAATTCCCATTTAGGATTCGGTCTCCACTGCTCACCTCGCTCTAGGTTCCAGTCACATGGCAACACTCAGCTTTGCCCACCCATTCCCTCTCCTATTCTCATTGGCCCCCTCCTGTCCATCTGCCCTCACATCGTTTCTCTTCCACCCACGTTCCCATTCACATTTTCTCACTCCACAGCTGTCTCTCACTCTGTCCCTGGGCAGTGCTGTCTGAGTGCTAAATACTGTTCCCAGTGGGAGGGAGTTTGGCTGGGACAGGGGAGAAACAGGCCAGTGTGGCTGGAGCCACGGTCAGAGAGGGGCAGCAGAGCCCAGGTCACCCAGCACCTTAGGCCTGGGACAACGCCAAGGGCCAGAGGACAGTCCCAGAGGGTGGCGAGTGTAAATCAGGTCCCTGCCTCTGTGAGGGGAGGGACCATCCCAGACCGCAGGGTCTTCATGGTGTCCCCACGGGCAATCCCGGAGCACACAGGCTGGATTCGGGTTTGTTCCAGAAGCAGAGCTGACTGGACTTGCCTCTGGATTGGATGCAGGACGTGCGACTAAAAGGAATGGGGGATCCAAGTTTCAGGCTTGAACAACTCTTCTCACTCTTTCATTGTTATTCTCTCCCTCCTCCCCCTTTTCCCTCACACCTGACAGACTGGAATGCTCCTAGCCCCGGGTGAACTGCTCAGAATTCACAACCTCCTGAGGTCCACACACACTGGGGCAAAGGCACACCCACAGGACGCATGGCCCTGTCCCCCTGCTGGCATCAGTTTCTAAGTTTTTTGTAAGAACTTCTAGCACAGAGTTCCACGCATGGACTCCAGAGCCAGAACGGGGCAGGCTTGTGTCCAAGTTCTGTTACCAACTAGCTAAGTGAGCTCTGCCAAGTTACTCAAATTCCCACATCTGTGAAGGGCAGGTAAGCCAACCCCCTCATAGAAGATGTTGCATGAGACCACAAGTGCCTAATACTAGTACAGAGCCAATGACGGACACATAACAGCCCTTATGATCAGCGTTATTACAACCATTACACTACCCACCTTCACTTAAGCAGGGTTTCTGCAAAATATCAGGAACCAAACTAAAGCAGAACATACCTAAATAGTTCAGGCCTGGAAATAAAACATTAACTCCTCAGTAACAAACGGTCCAAAGGGAAAGTGTGATTTCTTAGCCAATTCAGATAAACGTGAAAGTCACGGTGATTTAACTGTGATAGACTCCACTTCCTCCGCCTAAGTTGGGCTCTGATTTCCCACGTCCACAAAGTTACCGCTTCCCAGCGTAGGTGGGCCCATGGGATTCTTTTCCATGAGGTATCACCTGGGCAGGTGCATGCACACAGACAGCGGAAAGGGGCTGATGAGAGTGACTCCAGGGACTGAGTGAGGGCATGACCCTCTCAACCCTCCTAAGTTCCTTTTTTCATGAACTTGGCGTACTGTTAGCTTTTCTGCACAACTCATTGGGGCTATGAGTAAACGGAATGGCAATCATTTCTCTAATCACAGAACACCCCATATAAAGTTTCACAAGACATTGGCATTGTCCACCACACCCACGTCAGGAGCTGCGACGCCCTCTCCGCGCTCAGCTCGCACTCGCCCAGCTTTCGCCCTACACCTGTGTCGCTTCCGTGGACGCAGTGGCAACCTATGCTTTGCGCGCCCAGTGGCCTCGATCGCGGTGGCCTGACGCTGCCAAGGCGGTGAGAGGTCATCGCCGGGAACCGCTCTTCCTCCGAAGGCCCCCTAGGTCCTCCTGAGGCGCCCTCCTCCGGCCGTGGTCACCCAGGTGCACAGGAAGCACCTGGGGAGGACGCAGGTGCGCGGGGGAGGGGGGCGCTGGAGGCGCCGGGCGAGGAACCCCAAGCTCGAACCTGCAGACCCAGCGCGAAGTAGAAACTGAAAGTACACTGCGGCGAATCCTACGGAAGTTCTAGGAAAGGCAGAGCCCAGACCGCCGTGGCGTGTGCCGCGCCCCCTGGGATGGATGAAGCAGCGGGCGCGGCGTGGGGCAGACAAACCAGCCGCAGAGA